TCCCAGAGAGTCATAGACCAGACAAAAAGTTTTTAAAGGAAGGAAAAGTAAGAAAAAGGCAGGCTAGCCGCAATTGTTTAAGAAAACTTTAGGAACCCGCTAAAAATTATAAAGGATCTCAGATGATTTCGAAAAATTTTTTATTCGCCTTGAACATGCATTAATAGTAAATTGGTGTTTCCATTGCTTTTTTTTGTGCCGTGAAACATTTAATTTTTCGTTAATAAACGAAAAAGGAGTATTTTAAAGAAATATTATGAATCTTTGTAAGAATATAATTATAATGACATTTCAAAATAATTTGTTTAAAATAAACCTAATTTACCCTGTAAGTTAAAAATAACTTCAAAGTCGAAATGAAGTATGACTCGAGACAATGCAGATAGTAACACCCGAAAAAGCTGCTTTGTTGTTAGTAAGGCTTTGAAACATTTCTATAATCCACGTAGGCAAGCACTGATTTGAGTGGTTATGGATGGATAAAAAAACTATTAATTGATCTACAATTAGAGCACTTCAGTTCACAAAAGAAATGTTCTCGAGAACCATGGAAAGTTGAAACATTAATAAAGCCAAAAAAAAATTTGTTCAAAATGTTCAGAAAATTCACAAAAAAATTATAGAAAAACAGAGCGATTTTTTTGGGCTTTGTGTGTTTCATGCTCGGTGGGAATGGATTGAATGAAAATGAAGGTGAAGCGTGCTATTTTCATCTCCTAGCACCAGTTACCAAAAAAATGTTTTGATAACGGCTAGGCTTTGAAGCATTTTTATAACCAGCTTACTGGCAAGGCAATGTCCACAGTTTTGTTTTACTACGCGACGCTGACCCAGAAAAAAATATCGTTTTCTCTTTCCTTTAAATACGTTTGATAATAGGACAATTAACATCCTTGCACCACCACCCGAATTTTGACTCGCTTTACATCCTGTTCTACTCATCTAATACCCGCCGTTTACCCTTTTATAACCAGGTCCTTCTCACTCGCATTAGGGAAAATCGCTGCTCTTGGAAACCGCCAAACGTAAAACATTAAAAAATCCCACCCAACTCGTTGTTAGTGTTTTGCAGTAGCGGCAAGTATTTTTTATTATTAGTTAAATGACTCTATAATGAATGGCCGGAATTTTGGCAAATGGAAAAATTTATGAAGACTGTCACTGTCCCCTTTAAAAAAACCAGCAAGGAACTGAGAATTGCTATGTCGGAATCCGCTATAGATTTCAAATTTTAAATATTTTATCACAATTTTATGACTTTCAATTCCCTTCCAATTAACCCCCCCCCCCACCCCCGCTAATACCCCAGTACCAGGATTTTTCGGCAAAAACAATCGTCATTTTGTGCTCACTGATCAAAGTTTCCTTTAGCCTTGAGCCGAAACATTTGCATTTAACCCCTCAATTTTCTGGTAGTGGAGACGCCAAAAATTAGCGGGGTGCGGCGTTAATTTCGGCAAAGCCTTCTCACACAAAAAAATCCTAGACGCAAACCGGCAATTTGGGTGGGAATTTGGGGGTCTGCTTTGGCGGAGCCCGTGGAATGTTTTACATCCGAATTTTGGGAACCGCGCTTGGTATTAAGGATTACGCTATTGATTTACGGGTTATGAAGGTTTTTCGGTTGTTTTATAAACTAAACGAATTTTAAAACATTGCAACCATAGAGAATGCAGAAAAAGTGTTGCAAAAGCCATCAATGTCTGCGTTCACTTAATTTTTAGATTCGACCACGGTTTGGTTAAAAAACCCAACGGGAATTTTTTGGAAATCAATGATTCGAAATGCTAGCTATTTTTCTACTTTTTATTGCTACTATATTGCCTGCATAGTGCGGCCAATGAGCTGCCTTTCCGGTCAATCCAAATCAAACCCGAGCCGAATTTAATGTTTCGTAAAACCGCCTTTATACACGAGTTCCCGAGTTATGATTGTAGTCGCTTCGGATTTCCATCAAATGTCTAAAACTAAACCAACAGATTTAAATGAACTAAAAAAGCTTAATTTTCCCGATTTTTGGTTAATAAATTTTTGGCCTAATGAATTGATGGTAAGAGTTTACTTTACCCCTCCCCCCCCAGCCGAAGGGTCTCAAAGTTTTCCGTATTTTATTAGTTTTCCGTACTTTTCATTTGTAAGCATCCCCATTGTTATTAAAGCATTGAACAGACCAGAATAAAGAAGTTTTACAGGTTAGAAGGTGCTAAAACCTGAAATAGTCTTTTTTAAATTAAACCTCGATCATGGGAAGTAGAAGGTTTTTTCGCAATAATGTATTTGCCACGAGTTGATAAGAAAACTGCCGTGCTTTTCAAGAAGCTATCGACAGGAATTTGAGGAATTTCAAAAATGTGTTTCAACTTTTCATGTGCATATTCTAAATTTCATTTAGTTTTTTAGATACTACTTCGAACTCCCGTGTCTTTAAATTCCCCGTAAAAAGACGATTATTGCTGGGAGCACAGAAAAATACCAGACCCCCTATAAATGGCAACGAACCTACGGTACTGGACTTTAGCGGGGGCTAATTTTTGTTTTTTTTTGCCACCCACCTGTTCATAATTAATAATGTATTTTTAAAGTGTTTTAATAGTTTTCATTGCTAGAAGAATCTCCAAACAATATTTTAAAACTATAAAAATTTGAAACTTATAATTGTCATAATTATTTAAGAAAGTAAAAATTTTATAAAATTATTAATTGTTTATGAATATTTATTCGATTAAAAAAGGTAAAAGGTAAAATTCTATAAAAATTATTATATTTTGTTATAGGGCCGTGATAAATAACGGGAAAAGTTATGTTTCCTCCCCCCGCTAATAGTTCAGTACCGAATCTATCTTAAAAATAAAAATATCCTTGTAAATTCTTTACGAAAATGTGCTTCAATCGCCCGGGAAAGTCACGGGGTAAATAGGTGTTTAACGTACGGATGGCCCTAATAGCCTTTTTTAAGGGAGGCGGAGCGGCTTCTCGTGCTCCTCCTCCTCCCTCTACTCGCTGTGATCAGATAGAGTAGCCGGGAAAAGAAGATGCCGCGCTTTTGGGGGATGCGACTCCGCGACGTGCCCCAATTACGGGTGAATAGATGGGCAAATTGCCGGGTAAATCGTCGCCCTGCCGATTTTTGCGCGCTTTTTTTTAGAAATGGAGGTGTATGGGGATGGAAATAGAGCGAGAGAGAGAGTGAGAGAGAGAGCTTGCAAATTTTTTTTGCTTAATTGCTAAACCCAGCAAGTCTTTCCGTCAATGACCTAAAAAGCTTTGGATACGAAAGAACAATACGAAATGTAAATACGAATTAGTACTCGATGAATCCCTTCCTTTATTTCGGAGCGTTTGGAAACATTTTGTTTTCTGATGGTTCTCGTGGCGAAAATCTAGATACTTTCTCGGTTTTCAGCTATTTTTACGTAGCAATTGATTGGATTGTTTCATCCCTGGCACACAATGGGTAAGACTTTCTCTCTAGGATTTCATTCGCTTCTCGCATAATTTTATTTTTTCACATAAATTGCGATTAACAGTTGGCGAATCCTACCACTAGTTTTTTTTTTGAGAAATTCTATCTAATAATAAATGTGGTTTTCAACGTAGTCTTATAGAAAGAAAAACGTAGCGCAGTATATCCGAAAATGGCCCATCGTTCAAACGGTCCACCACACGACGCCGGCACGAGGCCGATAATTCGGAAATTCGAGAAAATGCGCGCAAACAAAGCCGATTTTCGGAGGGGGGCGCGTGCTCTTTCTGGCATTTGCAGCAGCCCAGAGGGGGGGGGGGGATTTGTGGTTTTTTACGAAAACGGAAAGAAGTTCCAGTTTTTACGGATAGGGATAGGCAAGAAAAAAAATATAAATCGCTTCAAACCTCTAAAAGAATCGGAATTAAATTTGTGGGTGCACCAAGCACTAATGTTCATTATTTAGCGATAACTACTAACATGATAGAAACATAATTTTTGTGCCATAAATCGCAGAAATACCTAACCTAACCTTTCTAGATTTAAATTTACCTGACGGTTTGGTTGCGTTTAAAAATGCTTTAAAATGTAAAGTTGCCCAACAAAGAAAAAAAAAATCGAGTTTATGCAGTCGGGAAAGAGAGCTCCATTTTGTCTCAATAAGAATAAGCGCCTGGAAAAGGGGTAGAAAGCATTTCCAGAAAATATTTTGAAGCAATTTGGAGCGCATTAACTGTAATTATTTTGCGATGCCGACCAACACCTTGGAAACATAATTTTTGCACTAATTTTAGAAATTCCGAACCTAACGGATCTATAGAACAGCTTTAGTTACTTTTATAAAGACAAATCCAAAAACCAAGTTTGCGCTTGTTTTTACGAAAACGAGAAAGAGAGCTCTATTTTTTGAAGATCAAAATAAGAAAGAATGTAGACCCCGTAGAAAGCATTTCTCGAATTTTCAAAAGTACGATGATTTTATTATTTTTGTGACGGCTACCAACATGTTAGAAACATATTTTTTGTGCGATAACCAGAAGCGCCTAAGCGGTTTCAGGGCTTTAGCTTGTCTTAATCTGTTTCAAGCTATGACAGTTTTCTTTATTCCCTTCTAAAAAATCTCTAACGTTCGTAAAAATAAGTATGTTTAATAACTTTACCACTACCGATTGCGCTTAGCTTTCTCAATTTCGAGAGGCTTTGTTGTTCTATGTCCGGAATCCTAACGTGTCCGAAAAACTATACGGGGATACCCTAGCTTAAAAATCTCTATATTTAAGCCTTATCGGTGCCATGGAGATATTGCGCGATGATCAGCCAGGCGAATAATTAATATCGCCAAAATTCGACTTTTTTATTTATGTTTTGAAACATATGAAAGGCAAGGGAAACTTTCCTTCTTCTTAGCATCAGAATCTAAATGTTTCGAAACGACTTTTACGCTTTTTTCTAGTCTCGGCCGTTCGGTTGCCTATTTTCCCTTCACTGCAAAATTTGACCATTTCTTTCATGCCATTCACAAACATTTAGTTGCCAGATGAAAAGGTACAAAGAATACTCATTTTCGGCATTTCGGCATCACTTAATTGATAAGGGTTTGAAAAATACAAAATCAAAACGTTATTTTCCGTACTTTAATAGTGGATGTTTCATAAAGATTTTGGGGTCTCTGTTTTTGCCAGTCATAATCAAGCGCACTCCCTTTAGAGCAAAAGCTAAACCTCCCGAAAAATCGGGGATTTCTGGCTACAAAATGCCGGTATTTTACCCTCCTTTTTGCCACGTCTTCGGGTGTGAGTACGATTTTTATGGGCTACCTCTCTGGAAATGCTCTGAATTTTGGTCCCCAGAAAATAGCCGCCCTGCCGATTTCAAGGGGCTAGAAAATGCCAGAATCGATTTCATCTGCCGACTGAGTCTTGATAGTTACGTGAAGCGCCGCTTTACGAGTCATTCGGAGCGGCGCGTAGCTGTCAAAACCTAGCGGCTGGAATGGAGCGCTTCTTGGACGTTCTAGCCCCTTTAACCGGCTAGTAGAAGCTTCTTGCTCAACCCGTACTTGTTTTTCCGAATTTCGACGTTTGATGTTTTCATAAGATTTCGGTTAGTTGTAGTATTTGCTAGTGACAATTTATGGACCGGAATTTCGTAGAGTCCCAGATACCTATTTAGGACCCCGAAATTTGTCGGGTTTCCCTATTAGATAGAAAGTATCAGATGCGACCGATTCCGTTGACTAGGTCTAGACCGTTACATTAAGCACCAAGTCACGCTTGGCGTTCACTGATGTACGTGTGCTTTGGTGTGCCGTGTAACTGTCCATACCCAGTCGCTGAAAGGGGTCGATTCCGGCACCTTCCAGTGTCTTTAACATACTTGTATTTTTCTGAAGCCTGAAGACTCAAAATTCGTGTTCAACTGGTCTTTTCGCCCGAGTTTAACAATCGATGTTTCAGAAAAACTTTGCGTGTTTAGGTTTTTCACGCCTACAATGACACCAGAAATTTTGCGCAACAAAAACAAAAATCCCATGAAAACCCGAGGCTTTCGAATACCTTCAGTCTTTTGTCTCATTTTGTCGCACCTTCAGGTGTTACAATTTTTTTGGGATGCCAGTCTGAAAGGGTTTAGAATTCGAAACCTATTTCTACATTCTACATTTCTTTATTCCCGAAAGCTGATGCATTTCAGGAGCTACGAGGTCGCCGGAACCGATTTGCTATCGTAATGTCGCAATTTTTTTGCATAGAATTCGGGGGGTTTACCGGAAAAATTAGCCTGTATTAATGCCGACATTATGAATTTCGACATTATGAAATTCCGGCATTATCAAAGGACCCCCCGGATTCTACCCCTTCCGTTAAATCCGTCTACAAGTTCGCTTTGGCAACAGATATCTACAATCTTCTTGCTTCTACGTTCTTATATTGTTTATTTTAATACCTTATTATACTTTTTAACTTTTTGACCGTTTAAAACAAAACAGCATATTTTTACTATCGGAGTAGTTTTTCAGGGGGTTTCGGCTATGGGAAGCCTAATTCTGAAGCCAGCAGCGTGTGTATTGGCAGAATGTGGTGGTATAGGATACAAAAGGCAGCCCAAAGGCCAGGTGATTGCCATCGCGCAGCCACGGTAATCACCTGGTTTCCAAGAATTTGCCGGGTTTCCGAGTACTAAATTTCAAAATATTTTGCCCTGTTTTTTTCCGCGGCCCCCGACTCGACTGGATTTTTCAGATACCGGTCTGGAAATGCTCTGAATTTTGGCCACCGAACTTAATGGGCGCTACGGTTTAAAGGAGCTAAAAAGTCCCGAATTCGACGCCATCCGTTGGCTAGGTCTCGATTTTCCGAATCCGCCATGCTTGTACGATTATTCACGACAATATTTCTAGTTTCTGTTCGCATTTTGAAACACCTTTTTGTTCATTTAATTCTAAAAAACAAACACAGGAAACACAGAACCGCCGTTATACTAAATATAATTATATCCCACCTTGACTGGGTGTCCCAAAAAAACCGACCTATCTGGTATTTCGCCGTGTTACATCCAATCGGCCCCAAATTTGGACCACAACTGTATCAGACCCCAAATAACAACAATCCTGACTTTTAGCCCCGTAGCTACAGTCGTTCTCGAGTTGTAACGAAAATACTGTTTTTCAGAGAATTCTGAACAGTTTTATCGGCTATCTTTTTGGACTTTACATCGATTTGCATCGACTTCCGGCTGCGAATCCCTAATTTTGCTTAAGAACTTGGGTAATTTTGCGTTGTAAAAATCGCTTAAATCGCTTAAAATACAAGTTTACAAAGTTAAAGCCGGTTTTACTCATTTTTGGGGTCACTGAGGGCTAATTTGAATAATGGGGAAAAAATAAAATTTCCTTATTCTTGCAAGTTGCACGCGCGTATGTGGTCGGAGGAAGGGAGGGGGTCCGAAGCAGGGCTGTTCACGGACGGGCCGGGCCAGCCCGGGACGGGCCGGACGGGCTGACTACCCAATTTGCATAAAATTAGCGGACGGGCTGGGACGGGCTGGGGAGCGGGCTGGACGGGCCGGGCTGAGCGGGCTGGAGCGGGCTGGGGTTATGCAAATCTGCTATGTTAATCATCCCGGGGTAAATTAACACAGTGAAGGCAATGTGATCAGATGGCGTTTTATGTCCTTGTTTAATAAAGATTTATGGGAAGTTTATTGTTTTCAGGTTAACAAGACTCTCATTTTGGTGCTGTGGGGGAGAGAGCCAAGTTTTATTTTTATTTTTATTTCATTGATCTGTTAAAGATACAGGTGTATTGTTACACTAATTTTAGTAGTTTTTGATTGCTCAAACTAACAACAACAATCGTACAAATTTTTGAAAATTGGCCAATTTAGACTTTTTTGGTAATTTTTCATAGTTTTTGACCAAAATAAATCAAAATTTTTCGAAAATTTGATAATTTTTTGACGCTGGTTTATATTTAGAAAGTGTACAATACTATGAAAATAGTCTCTATTTCCCCGCGCTAGGCTCTTGCCTCATCCTTGGATGTAATTAACATAGCAGATTTGCATAACCCCAGCCCGCTCCAGCCCGCTCCAGCCCGCTCAGCCCGGCCCGTCCAGCCCGCTCCCCAGCCCGTCCCAGCCCGTCCGCTAATTTTATGCAAATTGGGTAGTCAGCCCGTCCGGCCCGTCCAGCCCCGGACGCCCGCGGGCCGGGCTCGAAATGACCAACCCTGGTCCGAAGGACCCGAGCTATCGGGAAGGCAAATTTCTCATGCAAAGACCACATTCCAGCGACCAAGGCCCGCGAAGCGGGTTTTGGGCGCTGGTATGATATAATTTATTACCTGTTAGTTTCATATCTTAGGCGAATAAAATAAAAGTTTCAATCAACAACATCTTTGATGCGCTGGCTTTCTTTTTTAATTTTTTTTTGCCAAGCTTTTTATCGTTATTCCTTGTTGTTTTATGTACTTTATTTTACTGTTGGTAAATTTTCGTGAATTAAAATAAATTTTATTTAGCTATATTTTGCTTTAACTCTTTTTTTGCTTTCCTTTTCCCGTCTTTATACTACTTTCAAAAAATGCAAAAAGAGTAGCTCGGTAGAGAGGTTCTGATAGACAAGAAGCGAGCATTAATGTCACGTGTTACTCATAAATTTTTGAAACAACTTTTTGTGCATTGCCAATTTTCGAATTTTGTGTTAGAGACCCATAGCAAATTACCAATTTTTCAAGCAATGCCGAAGAACCTCTCGGTGGAACATCAAATTTGTAAAGCGGCCTCTAAGACCATCAATTACATCTCGGCCGCCCTCTACATCCTGCCAGTCATGTTTTTTGGGCTTTTATTCCTTCTGGTCTGCAGTCAACGCCGTGCTTTTCACCCAATTTTCAGGTATTTATTTATAATTAAAACCCACAAAAAACCTTAAAAAGCCGAAAATCGCGACTTGAAAAAGAATGTTTCGGAAAATTGTGGTGCTCGACGATTCGCGGCTCTTTTGATCTCATCACGATATCTGCCAGACCAAATTTTGGCGCGCATTCGGATTAAAAATTATCCTTTTTGGGTTAAAGGTACTGGCAAGGCTTGGAGATGGATAATTTTTGGTCTGGTTTCTCTACACCCGCGAACAACACCCTACACCATACTGGTACTGGACTGTTAGCGGGGGAGGATTTTAGTAACGGAAAACTATTTCTTTCCTACAATAACCCCAAAGGGCCGTATAACGTAATATAAATAATTTTTAACACGGTTCTTAACTCTAAAACGCCCAGTTCCAAAAATCATGAATGCTTTTAAATTTTTAACTTTGATGAAGACCCTTTGAAAACCGCCAAAACGCTAAATTTGCAGAAGTTTAAAAGATGTTACATATTTTTTTGTAACTTCTGAGCAATCAAAACCTACCAAAAACCCCTATGAAAATAGTTTACATATTAGTAACGGGTCGTGGCGGAAAATAAAAAAAATAGCCCCCTCCCCCGGTAACAGTACAGTACCGCGCGCTTACCGTCGACGTAAATTTTGTAGTGCAAACTGCCGAAAAACACTCAGGGACGCGGTATGAGGGTTAAACAGAGACGTTTTGGCCATTTTTTACTTATTAAAGACAACTTGGAAAAATTTTTTGAGGGCTATGTTAGAGGAAATACGGTAAATCAAATTAGGTCCTGAACGGTAAGTTGAAAATTAAGTACAAGACTAGTAAGGAAATCCCAAAAAAATTTACTTTGTTTGCGGGGTTGAAACACATTTTCAGTTGCCATTTCATACTCTTCCTGGCCGCCTACATCAGCTGTGACATTGTCTATTTGCCGTACAAGGTAGGCCAGCTAGCAGAGATCCTTGGGGGAAAATACGTTTAGTTGTAGGGTCTATCAATACACGGCGTAACTACCTCATGGGTTTTCGATTTAGCAGCATGCCACTCTGAAACACTGTTCCGCCCACTAACATGTGGTTGGGCTCCGAATTAACCATTGCTACTTTTTTGGGTACTCGACTGTTAGCGGGGGGGAGGGTTTAGCGGGGGAATAAAATCTTTTCCAGTATAATCGTAAAATATGCAATGAAATGTAATGCATTTTACATTCATAAACATTTTAAATGTTACGTTTTGTGCAATTTTTAGACCTAAAATTTCCCGATTTTCAAAGTCTTTTACAAGATTTTTATAGCTTTCCTGCAATCAAAAATCGCTAATCCCATTATTAGCAGGTGGCCGACCTATTAAAAATTACCTCCCTCCCCCGCTAACAGTTTACAGTATGTGTCGACACTATTCTTAAGGGCAGGTTTTAAAGTTTTTTTAAGGTTTATTGTTATGCTTTTTTAATTGCATGGCTTATTGTTTTTTTTTCAAAATAGCATATCTAGACAACGCCCTAACGAACCAAATCTAAGTAAATTTTTTCAGTTTGTGACGTTTTTCTGTTGTACATTTTGTCCCTATTAACATACTCACCAACTGTTTGAGTGCGATGAATAGCACAATACGTTTTTTTAAAAAACTATATTTTTACAAATCGGTATCACGAACTAAATCTTAGCTAGAAAGTCTGTATAAAATATATGATATAATCGGGTCCTATCATAACTCACAAAGCTCGAAATTAATAGGTGTGCCGCGCAGACTCATTACGCGACTACTTCTTCTTCGCATTACGCGACCAATCCAGAATTTTTATTGAAGTTTGGACAAAACATTTTTTTTCAGCTGTTCTCGGTATCCAATCCATTCTCTCCGACTACCGTAGCCCTGGGTACGGCCAGTGATACGCTCTATTTCCTGATTGCCCCACTCGGATCGTGCTGTATTTTGGAGCGTTTCGTGGCTACCGTATCCTACCGTAACTACGAGAAGCGACGGCCATGGTATTTGTTGATCGTCACACCGCCGATATGCGTTAGTTTTAATTTAAGTGCATTTAAAAATACAATTTAAAGAATTTAGATGGAATATTAAAAAGAGTAGAAAGAAAAAGAACAATATGCAATTAAAATGAAAAACTCTCCGCAACTTTCTGATTATTTGTACTACATTTAATTTCTGAAATCGATTTTTTTGTTTCAATTTTTATCTTTAAAACCATTTTTGTTTGAGCAGAAAATCCATTGAAAAATTAGTTACAGTAGGATTTGGTTCTTTCCCATTAACAGGGGGGGGGGGGAGGAGAGGCTACCAATTTTTCCTCAAAACGTCGAAATGCCTAGTAACTAAAAGTAACTGTTTTAATCACATTTTTAATAAATTTTACGATTCGAAGAAAAACCGATTTAAAAACTTGTAAACTTGTGACATTTTGGTCCAAAAATCTATATATTTTTAATCAATTTCGTAGGTTTTTACGGCTATGAATAATAAGAAGGAGCTTAGAAACATAGTTGTCTATTTTTTTATTAAAAAATTGGATCATAATGAAAGAAAATTATTCCCCCTCCCCCCGATACTGGGAAAGCGAAGCACAATCGAAACACAATTTTAGGAGAGTTCCTGAATAACTAAAAACAAAAAAGTATAAAATTGGACGATTTTGGAGAAAAAGGTTTCGGTTAAAATTTATACTTAACCGTTAAAGGCCTCTGGAAAGATGGGATTGGTCAAAAAGCAAGAAGGAATGCCCCGGACGGGGGTCGAACCAGGGATGGTCCTCTCCGCAGTCCAACGCGCTACCCCCCACACCAAAGGGGCCGAGTGGGTGGGGGCGGCGGAGGGGCCCCAAATACCCTAGGGGCTGATTGGTGCGCTTTACTGGGCAACAATTGAAAATAAGACTATTCATAAATAATAATAACGAAAAATGCTATAGAAAAGCTTGCTAAAGGAAAGCAAAGTACTCCCAAAAATTTCCTGATGTGTTTTATGCCTTTACTGACGATTTTTCAACTAAAGAGCGTCCCAAAAACCTCTTTCCGCTCAGAACATGGCTGTCTTCTATCCAATCAGCCTCAAATTTTTACCAACGATGGGGATGGCTAAAAACTATTTCTATGGAAGTTTCTGGCCCAGAATATCGTCAATCAAAAAAGTTATAGCTATAAATCTATTTTCTTGAAACCCAGTCGGGGGCTTTGGGGGCCCTTACGCGATGGAAAGCGTGCATGGTATCGCCCCGTCGGTCCCTCACCCCTGGGGACGTCCGGCCATCTTTCCAACGGTCTTTAAATCATCTGTGAATTTTGCCGCATCGCGACACGCAACGCCGTGTGCACCCCAACTTATTGGTGCGTAATCGATTACGCGAACCCTTTACGGCGACTAAGCTGCGCAGGCGTTGCGTGAAATTAATGAATCATTAAAACATGGATGGTGAAAAATTTGAAATTTGAAATTTAATTACAAAACCGCCTTTAGCTCGCCTTCGCGCCTGCCATGGCACTGCAATATGGTAGGCTTTATAAAGTTTATCTTTTTCCATTTTTCGATGAATATTTTTCCAATGTGAACTACATGCATTAATGAGAAAACCAATCGCGCAACACCATAATTACCCAAAACATTTCTTTTCAGTTTACAACGAAGATTTTTCCGATTTTGTCGACAAGAGTCTTTGTGTGTTGTCGATTTTTAACTTTTTGGTAAGTTAAAATCGTGCTTTTTCGACTTAAATTTACCTAAAAAATAATTAAAGCTATTCGCGGTCTTCTAGAGCTTATTATGCCTCTATCTCGTCAATCGGGGCTGTATTCGGAAAATGGCCGACGAGAAAGGGCAGAAAAGCCTGACGATGCGATATCAGTTGGCGGAGAATGTGAAGGGTACGGTAGCTTTTATTATTTATTAATAAGTTAAAATACTTCTTGACAGAAACTTTGAAAGTGCTGTCGAATAATTTTCTTTGAAACGCTTTTCCTATGATTTTCCCCAAAACATTTTTTCTACAGCCAAATATCGAGCCATATCTAATTTAGAGATTTCTAATGTTCTATTAACTTTGAAAATCACCAAAATCATAGTTTGATTTTAATTTGTGCTCAATCGATGCTTTATACCAAATATTCGCTTCAATCCTTTCAAAGCATTTTGGTATGATTTGTATTTATTGAAATTAACCAGTGGAAAAAGGCCGCTTCGCGGCCATTTTCCGCTGGACCCCGTCTAGGAATCATGAATTTGAATACATGCTTCTTTTAGCCTGCGGCGCTAGAGCCAGCGTTCCGCTAGAACCTTTGAGCCTGCGGCGCTAGTTACTGCTTTTTCTCCAGGATCTCCCCTGCGGCGCGAGAGCCTGAGTCAAGGACTTTCTCTTGGGCCTGCGGCGCTAGAGCGAGAGCCAGGCCTAAACCTCGCATACCGAGAGCCTAGAAATATCTTTAGTTGCTTAACTACCAAAAAGCAAAAAGTTGGATTTGCCCAGGATCCGAACCCACGACTATAAGCGTGGTAGACCGGACGTAAATCCACTACACCACGGGGTAGATGGGAACAGGTGGCGGGAAGCCCTCTTCTGTTCCGGGGAAAGCGGGGGCGGGGAGGCACAGAAAAGGCCGACCCAATGCCCCGGAAGGGAAGCCTTCTGGTCACTTTACAAAATTAAGTTTTTTAGTCTGAATCTGCAGAAAATTTGTAAAGATAATAAGATGCGCGTGATCCCCACTATCGAATACATAACTGGTCAAAATTGCAGCTCGAAATTCCAAATGCGAATCGAGTTATGCCCCGGACACCACGGCCATTGGCCCATTTTGTTAAGGATTTTCACTATTTTGCTTGTAAACCCGTTAAATGCAAGAATTTTGCAAAACAAAAAAAATGCGTGTCTGGCAAATGTCCTTCTCCACCTCCATGCCAAAAATCAGCGCGAAATTCGGCCAGACGGCCGAGAAATCGGCTGCACAGAAAACAGACATACTTTTCTCGCTTATAGGATAGGATTTATTTTTGTTTAATTATTTTTGTGCTAGGATTTTCACTGAAATTAATTTGACAATTTTTAACTAATCAGGACTTACCAAAATCCATTCAAGTACCCTACTTTGTCAAGCACACTTTTTGAACCTTTTTTTTTCGAAACATTAATTTTATCACAAAAATTATAGACTAATCAGTGAATTTGCCTTTAGCTATGAATTTCTATACATTTGATTCTGTTTCGATGTATTTTCTCTAATTCGTTCATGAATTTAATTGACTAAGTAAGTGATGTCTCTTCTTTTCTTTTGTTGGCTTTCGTCTTCAACTAGTGGGTAATTCCAACCATCACGCCCTTATTTGGCACCCGAAACATCCATTTTTTCGAAAAATCTACGATTTTTCCAATTTTCCTTTTATTTTGTTAATTACAGCAGTAAATCTGATGCTACCACTAGTTTTGGTTGACAACATAATCACGGTAGTGGATATGGTATTCTACGGTATTTGGTTTGTCGACAGCCTTTTCGACCCATCACTATGCCGCAAAATTGAGGGCTATCGATTTTTCTGGCTGTTAGGATCAACGGTAGGGTTTTGGTGTTAATTGTAAAACGCGAAACCTTATAATACCACGGCTTTTAAAGCCTATTTTTCAGCTGAGCTACCTCCTCGAAGCCGTCATGCCGTTAATCATTATCTTTGGGCACGAATTGTGTAAAAAGCGGCTGGCCAGGTGGCGTCGTCAATACTTCCCTCATCTGTGTACCTCGACGAGAAAGAAAATGCTGATACGACCCCAGTCCAGGTAAGGCTTTGAACACGCTTGATGCAGGAGAATAGCACTCCAGAAAATAGTACAGCTTCGAAAAGCTGCGGTCCAAAATTTGAGGGACTTCCAAAAGGAAATCTCGGTTTTAATGCAAACCTCAAATGGATTTATCAAATCCGTACGACACCATTTCGCCGGAGACCATAAGTCAGGGTAGTGGGCCAGGTCGTCTATCTATATAACTGTCGCTAATAGAACGGCCAAAAGGGCGTATTTCGCTTCCTCATAGAGCCTTGACAGTCATCGTAAGAATGGAAAAAGGGTCAAGAAGCGTTTTCGGTCGGGGCATGCTAGTAGAGAGAGATCCATACGGATTGGACGATCAGAATCCGAGCAAAAATTGCCTACTCAATTTGCTTTTTGTGCGGCTTCGAAAAGCCGCGTTCCAAAATTAAGAGCCTTCCCAAGGAAGTCTCGGGTTAATGCTAACCTCAAATGGATTATTAAATCCTGCAAGGTCATTTTGCCTCAAGCTGATAAGTTGACGTAGTGGGCCAGGTGGGGAACTTTCGCTACTGGAACGAGCGGAAAGGTTATATTTCGCTTCCTCATCGAGACTTGGAAGTCAACGTATCAGTGGAAGATGGGGTAAGGACCCCATTTCGGTGGGGGCATGCTAGCAGAGATGTTTTCGGATTGGACGATCAGAATCCGAGCAAAAATTGCCTACTCAATTTGCTCCCATTTGCCTTTAGTGCGGCTTCGAAAAGCCGCGTTCCAAAATTAAGAGCCTTCCCAAGGAAGTCTCAGGTTAATGCTAACCTCAAATGGATTATTAAATCCTACCTGGTCATTTTGCCACAAGCTGATAAGTTCACGTAGTGGGCCAGGTGGGCGTCTTTCGCTAAAGCGTCGATTTTGGTTGCCCCTATTCCCCTACCGGGGGAATTTAGCCGTAGGGATTATCGCTATCGGATTTATGGCTGCATTAAATTGATTTGTTATTAGTTACTGTGACTGTTAAATCCTCTTTTTCCAGAAAAACAAAGCTGCGCAACGTGCTCGGCGAGGAGATTGTGCAGGATTTATCGATCGAGGAGTATTTCGATAGATTGAAGGCCCAGTGGTGAGAGTAGTCAGGAGGATTCGAAACAAAGATTTTTATGATTCAACTGGAAGAGCAACATAAAAAAGTGTGCAGTAATTTTGTTAAAATGGAGGAGACACACGTTTTATCCCGAAAAACCTAAAAATAATCTTCCAAAGACCATAATCTTCGAAAAAATTCGTCTTGGAGTTGCAGAGCGATCAAGACTGGCGATTCCAGTGCCATAGATTCGTAAAGTCCACAATTTTTCAAAATTTTTGCTCGAAAATTTTGCAGTACTAGTGAGGTAAGCATTTCTGGAGACCTTTCACAGGAAATTAAAAAAATAAGCAACGACGCTATTTCAAGAAAATATTAAAAAATAGTGTTTCAAAAATTCTCAAAATCCAAAAATTTCGGGTCTCACGATTCTTTGGTTCCCTTTACGTGAAAACAAATAAATGCACTTTTTCCGAAAAGCGCCAATCTCGCTAAAAATAATTTTGGAATTGCAATAAATCCAACACTCCGTGCCATATCGTAATTGAAAATAGGGAGTTGCCAAGGCTCTCGGCTTCTTTCAAAAGTATTTTAAAATTAATGTTTCAAAAGCGCTGATAATCCAAAAATTTTAACCTTTCATTTCCATGGTGCCAGAGCAGGCAATTCGTGTATATCCGGTCGTACTCGTAAAAAGAACAATTTTTTGGGAGATTCTTTATTGCACAGTAATCGGGGGGATACAGTAGGCGAGGGGCGGGGTTAAATATGAGGGCCGAGGTGGCGGCGGCGCGACGCTTCCGGCTCAGGCTCCATCGTACTGCGAAGTCGATTTCTGGGCACGCTTGTAGCCCTTCACCACCGTCTGCAAAAACGGCATTCACTTAATATAAATTAAATAAAGCTTTGTTGATAAAATTAAATGTAGCAACTCTGTAAATTCATTGATTACCAAAAAAAATCATTCAAGTGTTTCATAAAACCTTAAGATCATGTGGTTGCTCGATGAACGCAATTTATGCCAATGGTACATGAATTTCCGCTGCCAATTAATTTTTTTAGCAATTTACCAGGGTTGAAAAGCCGCTTCGCGACTTTTCAACCCTGGCCCCCGTCTAATCCTAAGAGGTTCTTTATTTTGCATAATTGTGCCTCAATTCCGATGACAAAAAAAAAGAAAAATGAGCCCTTGGGGCCTTTATATAGGCTGCTGCAACTTCCGGCGTATGCTAATTTTCTCCTAACAAAGTGAGCGGCCGAATTTTTACGAAAAACTTAATTTTAATGTCGAAAACAACATATTTTACAAAATCTGATGTGTGTGCAGTCATCTACAGCCCATTACGCATCTAATGACGTATCAAACACCTCCTTACGCCCCCTCCCTCTTGAGATATCCTCCGGACACGCTGACGGAAGTTGCATGCAAAATGTCATACACACACACACACACACACAGACACTATTTTTTATATATAGTAGGATTAATCTTTGTTGTTATGCAAATATTTTCTTTTATGAAAAAAAGCGGAAATTCGCTGGTGGAGACGTGGAGACAGACTTTTTAAAACATTTGTTTTGCCCGCATCGTAAATCCCTCGAAGTTGCTTAAAACTGTTTCGTCGCCGTAGATTTCCCTCATTATTCTATAGTCCTCACTAAATTGTTTCTTAATTCATTTAAAAAATTTAAAATTTAAAATTAATTAATTTAACAAATTTAAAATTACAATTTTAAAAAATTTAATTAAGCGTATTTTTCAAACTAGGAAAATGTGCTAAACATTTGTACTCTCCCCTGAGCCGGATTGATTAACTTATTTTCTAGCTCCCCGGCAAACCAAAATTTTGAAACATATCCGATTCTAACGACCCACAAATCCACTCTTGGGCCCGGAGCCACTCTTGCCGGGCTGCTTCGACGCTTCCGGCTCCCAGTCGTACGGGAATTCGTGCATCTGAATTTATGCAAATTTTATTACGATTTTTAATAGTTTTTACGATCAAATTTATAATGCGGCAAGTTCAATTCAGAAATATAGTTTGGCAAGCTGGGAAAAATTGCAAAAAAGCGCAACAAACCTTGTGCTCCTTCATGCATTTGCGCAGGATCTCGTAGATCTTGTTGTAGGGCGGCGCCTCGTAGTACTGAAATTTTAACATTATTTGAAGCTCATAGATTTTTCGAGGAAAACGAAATTCCGCAAAAAAAGAAGCAATTGGCGTCATTTTATAAAACAGCGTCAAAGCTTTAATTTTGATGTTTCAGCATCCCAAAAGTAGAAAATGCGCCACCCAATTAGTATTCAATATACCAAAGATATAAATATCCAGATATATACTGACGATATATACCGAGTTTATAGCATTTTCTTAAAACTTAATTCATAGCCATTTGGGAAATACGGCTGCAGACTTTCAGTATTTAAAACATTTTAATTGAATGTTTCATCAAGCTTTAAACATAATTTTCCGTAGCTTCTATTAATATAATTTGTCTGGCGAGCTTTAAATTATCAATGCTTCATAGAAGTTTGAATCTAGCTCTTGTACTGATGTGATACTTCCTGATAATGAGTTTGATAAAAAAATCAAATTTAATTAATGCGTGCGGCTACCTGGAGGGCGTCAATCATGGCGAGTATCTGGGCGTACTCCTTCTTCGGGCAGTCGATGAAGAACGTGTTCAGGTCGCTGCGTGCCTTCCTCTTCGCCTGGCCCACCTGAAAAAGAGTTTTAGCAGTGTCTTTAGGAAGCCATATTCCATTTTGATGTTAATTTTTAATTTATTTGAATATTTCGTTATTATTGATTTATTATTAATGATACATCATAATATTTATTGATTCATTTCCTTACATCGTTCAGCTCGGTGACGCCCTTCCACGGCAGTTTCGCGTTCGTGTAGTCGACCAGCATGTAGAACCAGCTTTCTGAAGAGACCAGCCGATTACAGCCGCTTCGCGACTGTAATCGACTGGCCTTCGGGCTACCCTCCATATTCTACACCACCACATCTCTCGCTACTTTCATCATTACATATGCTGATATTTTCAGGAACCCGCATAGCCGAAATCCCCATCAAAAACTACCTAAATACCTTCCTGATGGCTTCAGACACCCCCCTTAGCCGAGATCCCCTTCAAAAACTACCTAAATACCTTCCTGATGGCTTCAGATACCCCCCATAGCCGAAATCCCCATCAAAAACTGCCTAAATACCTTCCTGATGGCTTCAGACACCCCCCTTAGCCGAGATCCCCTTCAAAAACTACCTAAATACCTTCCTGATGGCTTCAGATACCCCCCATGGCTGAAATCCCCTTCAAAAACTACCTAAATACCTTCCTGATGGCTTCAGATACCCCCCATAGCCGAAATCCCCATCAAAAACTGCCTAAATACCTTCCTGATGGCTTCAGATACCCCCCATGGCTGAAATCCCCTTCAAAAACTACCTAAATACCTTCCTGATGGCTTCAGATACCCCCATGGCTGAAATCCCCTTCAAAAACTACCTAAATACCTTCCTGATGGCTTCAGATACCCCCCATGGCTGAAATCCCCTTCAAAAACTACCTAAATCTCTAAGGCTAAAAAGAGTCTTTTTAAAAAAGGGCTTTTGGTTTTCGCAAAAAGAGAGGAATTCTCGTGGCAACAAAAAGAGCTAAATTCCTTTCAAACTCTGAAAAATGCCGCAGAATGTGGGATCAACCAAAAGTTGCTGACACCTTATTAAAACGGACATATCTAGTTTCTAGCGGTTTCGGCTTGCAAATAATTTCTTTATTATGATCTATTTGCACTTTCTTGAAATTAATCTGTGGACCTGACCGAGTACCATGGCACCGAGTTTATTATGGTTTTCAATAGCCAGCAACTTTTTGTTGTTCCCGCATTCTGCGGCATTTTTCAGAGTTTGAAAGGAATTTAGCTCTTTTTGTTGCCACG